CACACAGATTTGTACTAACTCAAATGTTCTCTAACTTATGTAACTTTTTAATTTTTCATTTATTTTATTTTTATTTTTTGTTGGTACCAAGGATTGAACTCAGGACCTTGAGCTTGCCAGGTAAGCACTTATTCTACTGAATTATCTCCCTGGATTGTGTAAATTTTAAAAAAAATTAAGTGCAGAGTTCTACATTGAACTGTATAATAACTTATCTTGCAAACTTTAATCCACTAGTGCAGACATCCATGCTTATGTTTCTGACACACTAGTTTTCCTGCTTACAACAGAAGTCTTTTCCACTCATCTAATCTGTCAGTAGGTCTTGAGAAGCACTCAGGCTTCTCTTCCACAGTCCCTGCTCCTCCTGCCTAGTCTAAGCCACTGTTACTTTCTGACTGGATGACTGTGCTAGTCCCTAGGCCCAGACCCCACAATCTGTTTTCCACAAAACATGTGGATTATCCACTTGACATATTGACCAGATCAAGTAATTTTCCTTCTTACAATCCTCTAATGGCTTAGTACTTAGAATGAAATTCAGATATTATTATGAGATTCTATATGGTCTACCAAAACTGGACCTATCTTTGTTCAGAGCCTCCTCTTTTAGTGTTCTCCCCTTACATGTGATAACTTCTCTAAAGCATATATAACTAATCCTGCCTCCAACCAAGTGTGCACACTACTGCTTCAAAGATGCTTTGCCCTTAGCATCTTTAACCAAGGGCTCCTTTACATCACTGATGTGTTAGCCAAAATCTAATTCACATTTCTATCCTTGCCAAAATTAGTGTGCATTTCATATATGTAGGACCCTACTCCTTCTTCCACTGTTAGGAAATACTGTTATTTTTTAAATAATTGAAGACCTATTTGAAAAGTTCTTCATTTACTTGATATGTACTTTTTTCCTGATAAATTACTTCTCTGGCTTCACATTTCAAGGAATACTTGTAGGTTAGGAAACAATTTTCTCTGCCAATATTATGGTTATATTTGACCACAGCACTCATTTGTTGCTGGACTTTATTGAGGTGTTTACATGGACTCAAGCTGTGTATTTAATAGGAGAAGCAAATGAGGAATGAAATGTGTGGTGCTGATTGAAGCTTTACATTGATGAGCTTCCAGGGGGAAGGTTTGAGAATCTTCCAGGATGGGACGTATCATAGAAATTGGACCAAAAATAATGGACACATTACAAGTTTTTAGCTTTCATTGAATATTTTTAATTTAAATATGTGTGTCATTATCATAATGATTTTACTTTTAAAAGTTAGCACTGTAGGAGGAAATCCTAGTTGGCCCTGAATTTAGCAGAATTTGATAAAATTTAGTTTGGCTTTTGCTCCCTAAGGTTCTGAGCCAGTCTGTTTTCAATTTTTAAAAATTAATTTTACTGCCACAATTTTGAAATACACATTGATCACATTTCCTTTTTATTTATTTTTATTTTTAAAGAATATAAAACACAGATATAAAAAACAGCATTATAAATGATACATGATTTGATCAAAGTAATAGGAATTTAACAATGGTTGCTGTATTACATAATGGTATCTTCAAATTGATTTAAAAGTGTGAGATTCATTGAGTATAATACAGCAAAATAACAAAGAAGCTATAAGAAATTCAAAGCATGAAAGAAGGAAATCAAGGTTAAAATAATTAAGCAATAACTGCTCCTTTCAAAAGACCAGCAGAAAAAGGACAATAAAATTATTCAAACTATTTTACATACATACCTAAGTATATCTCTTTCCCTTACATTTGTCCTTTTCCTAATTGTGGGAGACTCAATAACTCCAGGCCTCCAATCCTATTGCAAGTGGGTTTCCGGATTCCTCTTCCCCTACCTCTGCTGAGCTAAGCTCCTAATTCTTCTTACCCAGCCTATTCCCATAAGTCTCCTGCTATGCCCCAGAGGTGGGACTTCCTGTCATAGCCCGGTTGCCTAGTTACTCGCGCCTTTTACCTGCCAACGTCATTTCCCTATGCTTCCACTGTATATACCCAGAGTTTCCTTTGAATAAATGAGACTTAATCAGAATCCTTTCTTGTCTCCATTTCTCACATCTCCTGTCTTTTGTCCCCTCCTCAATTCCCCGCTCCTCTCCCAGGTGACCTTTGTTGACTCATCCACTGGCTCGGGACACCTAATCCCAATTTTTCCTTCCTATTGGATACTCTCTTTCCCTTTTACAGTGTCTGCTATATCTTTTGGATTTTCATTATGCTTTCAAATTCTCCCACTAGTGAGATAATAGGATATTTGCACATGTGGGTCTGATTTATTTCACTTAACAGTATAGACTGTAGCTGCATTCATTTTTCTAAAAAAACCTCAACTTTATCTTTGTTTAATTTGTGATAGCCAAATCTTGGAAGCAACCAAAATGCCCATCACCTGAGGAATGGATGAAAAAGGTGTGGTATTTTTATCGTTCTTTATAAACTGAATAATACTCCATTTGTAAAAATACCATATCATGTTTATCCATTCTTCAGTTGATGGACATCTGGGTTGTTTCCAAGATTTAGCTATGACAAATTGTTCTGCTATAAACAGTGGTGCACATATATCATTATTATATGATGATTTCAGTTCTTTAGAAAACTACCTAGGAGGAGAATGGTTGCCTTGAATGGGATCTCCAATCCTAGCTTTTTGAGGCATCTCCGTATTGGTTTCCATAATGCACCAGCCTGTATTCCCACCAACAGTGGAGAATGATTTCTTTTCCCCCATGGCCTTTCCAGCATTTGTTATTAGATAACTTCTTGATGATAGTCATTCTTTCTGGCATAAGATGGTATCTCAGTGTCATTTTAATTTACATTTCTTGAATGACCAGTGATGTTGAACATTTTTAAATATATTTATTTGCCATGTTTATATCTTCATTTGTGAAGTGTATATTCATCTCAGATGCTCATACTTGAAATGGGTCTTTGAATTTTGGCCATCTGAGTTTTTTGTTGTTGTTGTTGTTTATTCTGTATATGTTCTAGATAGGAGTCCTTTGATAGACAATTTGCTATAATTGTTTCCCACTTTGTGGGTTTTCTTTTTACTCTGTTGGTGATTTCTTTTGATGTGTTGAAGTTTTAAAAAAAATATGAGATCCTGATTATTGATTTGTTGAAGTATTTGCTGTGCAGTTTGATTTCTGTTCATGAACTCTTTACCTACACCAATGTCCTTAAGGTTTCTACCTACTTTCTCTTACAGAAGATTTAGTGTTTCTGTTTTAATATCTAAATCATTTTTTAATATCTAAATCTTTGATACATTTTGACATTAGTTTTGTATGACGTGATAGGCATGGGTCTATTTTAAGCCTTTGACATCTGGAAGCCACGTTTTCCAGCACCATTTATTAAAGAAGCTATATTTCTTCCAGTGAACATGTTTGGCCCCTTTGTCAAGGGTAAGGTGGCTGACTGTACTTGTAGTTGTTCCAACATCTTTTAGTCTGTTCCATTGATCTTCAGGCTGCTTCTTGGCCTGTACCATGCTGATTTTTATCACAGTAGCTTTATAGTATAATTTCAAGTCAGCGATTGTGATGTCTCCTGCCTTTGTATATTATACCTGATTGCTTTTGCTATTCTAGGTGTCTTCTGGTTCCAGATGAATTTTAGGAATTTTTTTTCTAGATTGATCAGGTATATTAATGGTATTTTAATTGGGACTGCATTGAATCTGTATAATAATTTTGGATGTGTGGCCATTTTCACAACATTGATTCTTCTTCAAGGCTGTACAAAGAGTGGGAGGGCAAGGAAATTTCTGCTATGTGGTGTTCAGTGTGGTATCTACCTCAGTAAGTGCAGTGGGGAGAGCTGCAGTTCAAGAAGAATCTGATTGCAGGACTCTCTCTTGGGCAGTCTTCCAGATCAGCAAACTCTAATGGGAAGTAAAAGGCCTGGGGTCTATGGTTGCTGATTCTCCCCAACAGTCTTCAGGGGAGGGGGGCAGCTGGAATGAGCACACTCTGGTGGGGAAGGCTGGAGGGGCTGTTGCTAATCTACTGGGTCTCTTTGGTGACCTTCCAGAGCTGATCCCATTTCTCATAGGGAATGTACATCTGTATGTCTCAGTTCCTCTTCTCTAGTTTCTGGGACAAATACCCAACATTCAAAATGAAGTAAAGAAAGCTTTATTATCTCACAGGTAATGGAAGTTTCAGTCCTTACTCAGCTGACTCCAAGGTGGGGTGGCACATGGCAGAGTGGCAGTTCATTGGTGGTGGAATACAGCAAAATAGCAAAAGAAAAAGGGAGGAGTAGCAGCGACAATGGCTGCAGAGAGTAAGTCTGTCTCCCTCAAGTTGCATTCAGGCTATCCTTCCCAGTTTAGGTGCAGTTCTCACACCCGTAATCCCAGCAGCACTTACACCCATAATCTCAGCAGCACTCACACCCACAGTCCTGGTGGATCATGAGTTAATCACAAACTCTATAAATCCACCCCATGACTACATAAGGCTTTGGGGGAATAGCTAGACAGAAACCATAACATTAAGCTTTTTACTTCTTTTCTCCTCAGTTCCCTCCCCTCCTTTCAACCTTCTTGTACTCTGTATTTTAAAAGACTCTTATCCATTTTTCCTTGTAGTACCTTTTTATTCAGTTTCCCTCTTTCCCCTTGTCCCTCTCCTCTCCCTTGTTCTCTTTCTCATTTGAACATTTTCTCTCTGCTTTCCAATATCTACTTTCCATTTTGATCCTTATTTACAGTTTTGATTTCTCATGCAAGAGAAACAATGTGATATTTAATCATATGTGTTCAACTTATTTCACTTTAAAAGATTGGTCTTAAGTTTTATCCACTTATCTAAAAATGCCTCAAGTTTTTTTTGGTACTCAGGATGGAACTCAGGACGTTGTGCTTGCCAGGAAGGCACTTTTGCTACTGGCTGAGCTGTGTCCCCTGCCCCTCAGATGCTTATATTTAGGAAGTGGGACCTGTCCAGTCCAAGCCCAGGCGCAGCATGGTATCTGGAGTCCACCTGTCGCCAAGTGTCTCCTGAGCTTGTTTTGGACCATGACCACTCATCTCCTTCAGCAGGCTGCCTTTCTCCTGATGCCATTCTTTCCTCACCAGACAATGTGCACCCAGACAGCAGCATTGGAAGCCAAAGTGTTCCGAAAGCACAGGTTCAGCAGTCAGTACACACTCATCTAGATATCCCACTTTTTCCATTGGGTTCATCAGATGAGATGAGTAATGAAACAGCTGCTCTTGTGGATGATTCTGAAGATCCTGCAGGCAATGTATCAAACATAGAGCTTCAGCAAAAAGTTTCAGATCTGGAGATGAAACTCAAAATGTCTGAAGAAGAAAAGCAGAGGATTAAAAAGG